CTCACGCTTTGTGCCACTTGAAGTACACAGCTGAGGGAGACCTAGGAGTGAATGAAAGTATCTGCATAGTGCTGATATCCACACCAAGTGCTGTCTCAGCAGGGATTTACATGGGGGTGAGAGAGGACAGTGTGTGTATATAGACAGGTGTAACAATTATATGGATATCATTCAGAGCAGACAAGGTTCCTTGGGTGAATCTGATATCTTTTATTAGGCCAGCCCAAATAGTTGGAGAATAGTTATTAAGCAAGCTTTCAGGTTCAAAAACCCTGATGGAGGTGTACAACCTACACCCCAGCAACATGGATATCGTTTGACATTGATACAACAATTACATTGTAACAGCTTATATCTTCCTGTTTCTGTAATGATACAAATGTAGCAAAGCTGTTTTAACTTTAAGCCTCTTTCATTTAGGGTTCCAGTTACAGTGATTTAACTGACTAGTGGTACTACAGGAGCATGCAGAGGTACAATTGCACTGTAATAACTGATGAGCAGAGATTCTGATTTTCTGTTTTTAAAAATTGCAAATTCTCTGATTAAAACCCCCCAAATCCACCATTTTTTTTGTGACTAAAATGTAATGCCACTAATATATATAGGTATCATTTGAACACAATGTTATTGATATATTTACAATTTTAAAGCAATTTGGAAGCTTACCAATGCCTAAATCGTTATAATAAAATAAATTCTAAATTCCTACATATTTTGGCATTTTATTTTGGGGTTTTTTATCGTAGAAAATTGGAGATCCCCTGCCTCCTATGCTCACCAGGACGCGGATCCAGCTACAGCTGTCCTCCTCCCCACACCCTTGCTTTGTGGTGCTGAGCAATCCTAATATGCTGGTGCCTGTCACTCCCAACCCACAGCCCCCATCCCCCTGGGCAATTCAGGTGCCCCTCCTAACCCACAGCCTGCCACCTCCTAGCCCTGCTAGTCCCCCTCACTCATGACCCACAGTCCCCTGACCCACCACAGCCCTGCCAGATGGGGCCCCCAGCTGCCAGGGCTATGGGACCAAGGCCCACAGCCCCCTGCTCCCCACAGCAGTGCCCGAGTCCCAGCTGCCGCCTGCAGCAGGCAGCAGCTGCTGGAGTACTTCACAGAGCCTGCTTCCCGCTCTCCCCATGGGTGGCACAGCCAGAGCAGGGGCCATGGGAGGAGGAGTGGGATTCAGGCTGCCTGCTGAGGGCTCGGGGGTCCCTGCCCTGCTGCCCTCTCCCTGGGGCCTCCATAGCAGAGTGGTGCAGCGCTGGGTGGCTCGATGCCGCTGCTGGGATCCCCAGCGCCTCTTGCCCACCTGGTAGCAGCGGCAGCATGTAAGTGTGCCCCCCACTGCTGCCAGGTGGGCAGGGGGCACCTTGCCATGGCAAGGCAACAAGCATGGGGCTTCTGACAGTAGCACCGAGCATCCCTTCCCAGTTCTGCTGTGGTGGCCTTTGGGTGAGGGGGGCAGCAGGGCAGGGAGCCCTGAGCCCACAGTGGGCAGCCCTCATCTGCCACCGTGCCTCCCCATGCCTCCCTCCACGGGATTGTACACAGTGGCAGGGAGCCAGTCCCCTCACCGTGCTCAAGATGAGCCACCCATTGCTCCCTTGCAGTCCCTGGCGGGGCCCTGCGACCTCTCATTCCTGCCCTGGCCCCCATGCACTGCCTCAGATGGGCAGCACTCCCAACCGCAGCCTGGCCCTACTCCCTCCCTCCCTCACCATGGGGGGCCTCCCCCAGAGACTTAACCTGGAAGGAGCTGTGAGAGCTGCTCTCTACACTGCCTGGCTGTCACATGCATGTGTGTGCGTGCACATACCTGTGGTGCCCCCTGCATCTGATCACCCTCTTTACACTCCCCCCAGCCCCAAACAGCTCCTTTCAGGCTGGAACTCTGCCAGCCTGCCACGGGAGCCCACTGTCTCCTGTAATTTTCTCTGTAAAAGGAGAAAATCCACGTTTTCCCATAGCGAATGGAAAACCTAGGTCCCTGCTGGTGGAAGGGGATAGGGGAAGGGAAGGGGCATGGGGGGCAGATCAAGGCCCCCAGGGTGAGGGAGGGAGTGGGACTGGGGCTGGGGCAAGAGCTGCCCAGTGCGGGACAGAGCTATGGCTCGTCCAGGGGGTGTGGGGAGGGAGGGGGGTGTGGCTTCTGCCAGTGCATGCCGCTCGTCTGGCAGCTCGTCCAGCACTCATCCACCTGTTCGGCAGCTTCTGCCACTCATCCAAGTGGACATGGGGGGGATATGCCCCCGGATTGGGGCAGGCTTGGCCTGAGCAGGGCTCTTCCCAGTGGGGGCTGGGCCACACTGTGCTCAGTGAGCAGCAGTGGTGGTGGGAGAAGGGATTGGGAAGCTATGGTGTATTTTGGGGTGGCTACAGCCCCCCTCCCAACCCTCTCCCAGCACCGCCACCGCCCACCCTGAGTGCAGCCCAGCCCCCACTGGGAAGAGCCTGGCACAGCCCTGGCCCCAGCCCACAGCAGCAGCTGCCCCACCCCATGCATATCCGGGGGGCACATGCCCTCCCAGGGTGCGGTGTGCGCAGCAGCAGGAGCCGCTCCCCCCTCCTCACGGCTCTCAGACGAGCTGCTTGCAGCTCTGTCCTATGTCACCCAGCCCCAGCCCCGCTCCCTCCCTCACCGCAGGGGCCTCTTTCTTCTCCTCCCATGCTCCTTTCCTCCCCCCTTCCCTTCCACCACAAAAGACTTACCAGCTGGACACTGCTGTTCAAGCTGCCAGGCTGATATTGGAAATCAGATCGGTATCGGCCAAGATGTCCCCTTAAAAATCGGCTATTAGTATTGGCCCCAAAAATCTCCATCAGTGCACTCCTAGTGTTTGCAAATCCTTGCACATCATTTAAGCTCCCTGGACACCTTCAGAGCTTTGCATCTTTTCTCTCTCATCCTTCTACAACTGACATTATCCCCTTACACTTTAATTTTCAAAAGAACCAAGCACTCAGCTGCTATTAAGTTTGGGGATGGTGTTGTGTTCTAGCTTAAAAATCCAAGCAGTGACCTGATGATGATAATGTTGCTTGGTGCTAGAAGAGGGTAGGAAAGAAAAATGGGGTGTTGTCCTCATAGCTTAGTGTAGAGTTTGGAATAAAGTGCAGCTAGGAGAAGTTCCTTCTTGACCTCTAGAAAGGAGTCTACTCCCAAACACAGGAGGTGGCCATGGGTGTTTAAAAACCACAGTGCCGTGATGCACTGTTTTATTGGTAAGTTGCAAATGGCAGATTCTAGTAACTTGCATCAAAATACTTCAACTCACCCCAATGCACACCACTACCAATAATGCAGGAATGAAGTCCTTTATCTTCTGGAGCCTGTCTTCTGTTTCTTTGCCACAACATATGCAATGGGAAAAGTGGGAGAGGAGGAGCAGCCAGAAGGGACCCCTGCATGGGATTCTGTTTTCAGGAGACAACCTGAAGTGGAGAAATGTATTGGGAGAGGACCTGAGGGAATGGAGAAGCACAGACTTGTTATAGGAAACCTGTTACAGCTCACGTATGCAGATAGAGCTCACTGTGTTCGTACCATTGTGGGAACATGATGGCTTTTGATTTGGTGTGATTTAGCAATGGTTGTATGCCTGTGAGGTGGATTACTGTGTTGATGCTATGATATGAGCCATTCATCCACCTCCTGGGCACACCTGGCAGCACCCCTGCTAAGTGAAGGGATGCATCTGGTTGAGACTTCTCTGCCTGCTTTCAAAAACCAAGGTTATAGAACTATAGAAAATTAAGGTTGGCAGAGACTTCAGGAGGTCATCTGGTCCAACCCCTTGCTCAAAGCAGGACCATCCCTAACTAGATCATCCATTTCTGTTGCCCTCTCCTGTACTCTCTCCAACTTGTCCACATCCTTTCTGTAGTGAGGGGTCCAAAACTGGACAGTACTCCAGATGTGGCCTCACCAGTGCCAAATGGAGAGGAAGAATCACTTCCCTCAATCTGCTGGCAAAACTGCTGATGCAGCCCAGTATACTGTTAGCCTTCTTATCAACAAGGGCACACTGTTGCCTCATGTTCAGCTTATTGTCCACTGTAACCCCCACATCCTTTGCTGCAGAGCTGCTGCTTAGCCAGTTAGTCCCCAGCCTGTAATGGTGCATGAGATTGTTCCATCCTAAGTGCAGGACTTTGCACTTGTCTTTATTGAGCCTCATGAGATTTCTTGTGGTCCAGTCCTCCAATTTGTCAAGGTCACTCTGAATCCTAGCCCTACTCTGCAGCGTATTTACTACTTCCCATAACTTGATGTCATCTGCACAGTTGCTGAGGGTGAACTTCATCCCATCTTCCAAGTTGTTGACAATCCCACCACTAGCTGCTGACTAGACGGGAGGCAAAACTGTAGCATATTTAAAACTGTGGTTTTTGCCTCCCAGGCATCAGGAGCAATGATGAGGCCAATGGGGCCCCTCTGCGAACCAGTAGTGGGAGAGTATGTGGGGGAAACTCTAAAGTTAATGGAGAAGCTGAGCAGCACACTTCCGGCATAAATTCCAGTGGTCCCTACTTATAGTCCACTCATCTAATCCATATTTCCTTAGCTTGCTTGCAAGAAAGTTGTGGGAGACTGTATCAAAAGCCTTACTAAAGTCAAGAGATATCAGGTCCATCGCTCTCCCTGCATCCCCAGGGCCAGTTATATCATCAGGGAATGCAGTCAGGTTGGTCGGGTATGACTTGCCCTTGGTGAATCCATACTGTGTGTTTGTAATCACCATATTGTCCTCCAAATGCTTTTAAATGGATTCCTTGAGGACCTGAAGATGAATAATTTTAAATGTGCTTTTCTGCAAAAGTGTATCTAATGGGGCAGGAAGGTGTGGAGTGTATCCTGTTGGGAAGGTGCTCTCTTTGCAAGATCAGTATCTTGCTTAGAAGGGGGATTGAGCCATTCATCTGATCTGAGGTAAAGGATGTTGGTATGGAACAGCCCTCATGAACTGTACTGATCTTTTTCACTTTTCCCACTCCAGGTAAGATCCTCTTCCGTCGAAGCCATATCCGGGATGTTGCAGTCAAGCGGCTGATACCCATTGATGAATACTGCAAGGTAAGGGTAGTTTTCTAGCTCGTGTCAGAAGTTGGCAGTCATTCTGGGTACTGGATCTGGGAAGGCACAGTGCATGGTGTCAGTGCTGTAAAGTCTGCTGAATAAGTCCACCAGCAGTGACGTATGTTAACACACCACGAGCATGGTATGGCAGCATACGTAGAATAGAACCGTGGAGGTGCTGCAGTTCAGGATTGGGGTGCATTAACTAAAGCTATGAAAGAGGAGCCCTGTAACTAGAGTAGAATAGGGGAGGCTGCTGAATGTCAAGACAGAGGTCATGGAAAAATAGGGTTAGAAGGGACTTCAGGAAGCCATCAAATCCAACCCCCTGCCCAAAGCAGGATCATCCCTCTCTAAACAATCCCAGACAAATGTTTGTCTAACCTGCACTTAAAACCTTCCAGTGACAGAGATTCTATAACCTCTGTAGATAATCTGTTCCAGTGTATAACCACCCACATTGTTATAAACTCTTGATATCTAAATCAAATCTTCCTCGTTGCACTTTAAGCCCATTACTTCTTGTTCTGTCTTCTGTGAATTCAAAAGTTGGTCACCACACTCTTTATAACAACCTTTATATATTTGAAGATGATCTAATCCCACCCAGTATTCTTTTTTGTAGACTAAATGATTCCAGATTTTCCAACCTTTCCTCCCATTCCATGTGCTCTAGACCTCTAATCACTTTTGCTATCCTCCTCCAGACTCTTTCTAAAGTGTTCATAACTTCCTTAAAATGCAGTGCCCAAAACTGGACACAGTACTCCTGATAAGTACTCCAGCACTGAATAGAATGGAAGAATGACTATGTGTGTTTTGCAGATTAAACTTCTGTTAATGACATACTGGGAATTTATTGGCTTATAAACAATTTTACACGTTGACTCATTCAGCTTGTGATTCATAGATGTTTGGGTCAGAAGGGACCTTAGCAGATCGAGTCTGACCCCCTGCCCTGGGAAGAAAGGAGCATTGGGGTCGAATGACCCCAGCCAGGTGTATGTCTAGCCTCCTGTTAAAGACCCCCAGGGTAGCGGGGAGCACCACCTCCCTTGGAAGCCCATTCCAGATTTTGGCAACCTTTACCATAAAGAAGTTCTTCCTGATGTCTAACCTAAATCTGCTCTGTCAGTTTGTGGCCATTGTTCCTAGTTACTCCAAGGGGTGCCCTGGTAAACAGAGCATCTCCTATTCCTTGCTGTCCTCCCCTGATGAATTTGTAGGCAGCCACAAGATCACCTCTCAGCCTTCTCTTGCGGAGGCTGAAAGATCCAGGGCCCTCAATCTCTCCTCGTAGGGCTTTGCCTGGAGGCCCCTAACCATACAAGTGGCCTTCCTATTAGGTTGTCCACATCCCTCTTGAAGTGTGGTGCCCAAAATCAGACGCAGTACTCCATCTGCGGCCTGACCAATACCGCATGGGGGGAAGTATCACCTCCTTGGACCTGTGTGTCACGCACCTGCTAATGCATGATAAAGTGTAGTGAGCATTTCTGATCACTTTGTCACACTGATGACTCGTGTTCATCTTGGAGTCAACAGTGACTCCAAGATGCTTTGCCATTGCTGTGCTGCTGAGAAGATTCTCCCCCAGTGTGTAAGTGTGCTGATGATGCCTTCTCCCTAGGTGCAGCACCTTGCATTTGTCCTTATTGAACAGCATCCTATTCTGTTCTGCCCACTTTTCCAACCTGTCCAGATCCACCTGGATTCATTCCCTACCCTGTAATGTGTTAACTGTGCTCCATAATTTGGTATTATCTGTGAATTTGGACAGAGCGCTTTCCACGCCCTCATCCAAGTCGCTGATGAAGATGCTGAACAGCAGTGGTCCAAGGACTGAAACTTGTGGGATTCCACTGCCCAAATCTTTCCAGATCAATATCGACCAGTCCACCACCACTGTCTGGGTGCACCCCCTAAGCCAGTTTGCCACCCACCTGACCGTGTAATCATCTATGTCACAGTCACTCAGTTTAGTTATAAGAATATAATGAGATACTGTATCAAAGGCCTTCTTAAAATCCAAGTAGATGACATCCACCTCAATTCCTGCATCTAAGCATTTTGTGACCTGCATTCTCTGTAATCCTTCTATTGCTGCATCTACCTATTTGTTCCCCATTTTGGTTTTGTTCATGTGATTTGTTCCTTTCTAAGTAAATTCCATTGTGCATGCCCTTACTGAATTTGAATAGATGTATTTCAGACCATTTTTGCAATTTATCAAGTTCATTTTGAATTTTATTCTCACCTGCTCAAAGGGCTGCTGTCCCCAGCGTGGTATCTTTAAATTCAGTTTTGTCCAAGCTATAAATGAAGATGTTGAATAGCGATGGGCCCAGGAAACCCCCTGAGGAACCCCACTTAATACATCCCCTTAGTTTGACCCTGAGTCCTTGTTGACATCTCTTTATGGACAATGGTACAACTAGTTATGCACCTGTCTTGTAGAATGTTCTACATCTAGATTATATTTCTTTAACTTCCTTATGAGGGTGTTGTGGGAAGCAGTGTAAAAAACTTAAAAGATGCATCCCCCCTGTGTAACATCCCAGCAATATTCTAGAAGCTGTTGCTTCAGGTCTATGTTGTTGAGCTTGAGCTACTGCAAGGTACCAGGTACAACGGGAGCAATATATGTACTGCAAAGTGGGCTTCAGGCACATGGTCCAAGCTAGAAGTTTGGAGAAAGCTCACACAGCAGCTACTTAAATCAAGCCAGTGTAATCAATCCTCATTTTCAGGGACACTAAAATGTGCCAACTACCCACAGGCACATGCACATCCATAAATTTAATTTTAGGGAGGAAGAAGGTCCCTAAGAGATAAGAGGCTGCAGCTGTCTGTTTTAGAATGATTCTGTTAATAGCATAAAATATAATGAATCCATTTGACTTAACAACTGGAACATAATGGCTGATGTTATATGACCCACTTAGCAGCTTTCTCCTCCTCCAGTTAATGCATTACCAAGTAATAAAGTGTGCTCTATGCCTGGCCTTCCAGCTCCTGCTACTTAACTGAAACTGCTACTGCTGGGGTGGAAACCAGACCCATCACAGAGGTGCTTTACAAGCAAAGAGTCTACAGGAATGGCCATGCTCTCATTACAGGGGCCCAGTGCTTGATGCCTTAGATGCAGTCGCGCCTCTCCTCAAACCAACTATTTTGGGTTGGCCTCACATGAGCCACAGGAGCAGGAGTAAAATAATCACTCTCAGTAAAAGTTCTCCTAGAACTTCCTTGAAGAGTAGCTAAAATTACTGAGAGTCAGGTCAACCTGACTTCTGAGTTCATATTTAAAAACACTGTTTTTGTCAGTTTTTTCTCCCATCCTTCAACTTGGTAATAGGTCTTGCACTGGCAAATTTAAGAGAGAAAATGTTGGGTGAATATTAGGTAAAAAAAAGTGGTGACTGAAGTTCTCTGCCAAGTCCCGTTGCTTTTAAAACTAGATTGGACACAGTTCTAGAAAATCCCCTGTGGTGAATTATCCTGTATCAGCGTCTGACCAATGAATCACCAGCAAAATGGGCCTTTCCCATCTGGCTTTTATGAATAGCCTCCTTGCTGTATTTCTGCCATTGCCAGTTGGGGCTGGATGGACTTCCCCTGGGAGCCTCTTGTTGTCAAGGATGAGGTGGAGGCTGAGTTGTGAGACTGGATGCCTTGCCTTTAGCAGCACTCACAACCTCTCCTGTCAGCGTCCCCCATGTCAGCATTGTTCACCAACCACCAGAAACTGGTGTCCATCAAGGGCGGGCTGCATTTTCCATTGACATCTGCAGTGCTCTCAGGATGGAAAGTTCTCGAGGCCCTGGTTGGTAATTTAACAGGAGCCCCAGACATTGGATACCTGTGGACAATGCCTAGGTGGCAATGGCATCAGTGAGAAACCTGCTCTGTCAGCTGCCCGTGCCTCCCCCATAATCTCCAGAATGGGCAGGTGTTTTTGCTTTCCCATTTTTCGTGATGGCCTGCACATTGTCTTGACTTCTTGTCAGACCTCTGGTTTACTCTTGCTGCATTGGTGGTCAATGTCTTTGAATGACCATTCCACTTTTGGAACAGCTACACGGACACTGCAGACTCAGATCTGATATCTGGGGACTTGCTTAGACAGGGCTCTGATGCAGGGTGAGGTTTCTTCATGGGTTTCCCTGTGTTCCTGCCTCCAGGCCATTGTATGGGTGGAGCTGAGGGTGAAGTGTGGCTGGGAGGCTAAAGGATGCCTCTCAGCTGCCCTTCTCTACAGGAGGCAAATGGGCTGAAGGGTGAGCTCTCTTCCTCCTTTGACAGCATGACACAACTTTTTTCCTAAAAGTATACAAAAGACCAGTGAACACAAACCACAGCTGTGTACATCACGGGCCTGCCTGTTTTTCCCTTCACTCAGAGATAGGTTATAGAGCTCTCACCAGGACTGCCTGCCTCTGCTCCAGTCTGAAACAGTGGGACAGTCAGCAAGGGAAACGATGACTCTGGCTTGAACAAAACATTGGTATTCTTGGCACCGTCCCCTCCAGCTTATGCAGCCATTACGGCATCATTGCTGGCACATTCTGGCTCTCATCCAGTGAGTCCCACCTTTAAGGCCAGTCTTGCTGTCTGAGTCTCTCTTGTGGACAGGGAAAAGGTGAGGGTCACACATTAACTCCTGCTCTAAGGTGGTTGTCTGATGATGGCATTAATAAAGCTCTGCAGCTGTTGTCTTGAAAAAGGAGTCCCACAATTTGTCCTATCCCATAATAAGAGGCTCCCTTCCTGGGTAGCAATTCCCCAACAGAGAGAACAAATTGCTCTTCATGATCTCTGAAGCTCTCATGGTCCCAAGAGTCCCCATGTCCTGGCCCTGGCCGAAAGCATCAAGAAGCCAGACCCTATTGCCCTGACAGAATCAGGCCCTGACATGGGCTGCTGGTTCTGTGCGGAAAGGGACTACAGGTCTCCACATTTTGTGGTTGAGAAAAACTTCCGTAAGTCAATGAGTCAGGCCCCATCTCAGGGGTGGGCAATTATTTTGGGCGGAGGGCTGCTTAACAAGTTTTGTTGTGCTGTTGAGGGTTGCATGGGTAGCCCCGCCCCTTGACAGTTGTTCCACCCCCTTGTCACCACCTTGGCAGAAGTCCCTCCCCTTGCCCCCTGGAAATACTCCTGGGGGGGTCATCTTAGAACCAGAAAAAAAACATATCATACACTAAGTCAAACACCTACTAGAACATAGTTCAATTTTATTATGAAAAATATTTGTGTCGTGATTTGTGTTCATGTATTGTATATAGGGGTGATTGCATAATAACTCAAAAATAAATTCTTAGTCTTGTATATTGTGGGGGTGTATGGTGGGTGTGGGTGTGGGGGGGTGTGGGTACGTGTGTGGCGGGGGAGGTGGATTGTTCCTGTGTGTGCGGCGTGTGTGTATGGTGGGGTGTGGGGGGGGTTTGTGGCAGGGATTTGTGAGAGGGCGTGGGGTATGTTGGAGGGCTGTGGGGGCAGGGTGTGGATGTGTGTAGGATTTGTGGGGTATGAGGGAGTGTGGGGACCCTCCCCCAGTTCCTCCCCATGGCATGCAGCCCTGGCAGGTGGTGGCAGTGGCAGCAGCAGTAGGTGGGGCATTCAGGGCACAGGCGCCCGGCAGGGCATGGCTCCGGCCAGCGCGGCATATTGCGATGAGGGGCACATCCTCCGTTGGGCTCTCTGTATCACCGGTGCTCTCCGTATCACCAGTGCTCTCTGCACTCACGCGCAGTCCCTGCACTCACTGGCCACAGCAGGGAAGCCCCACGTGCTGAAGCCAGCTGCCTTCCCCACCCCCCAGGGAAAGGTACCTGGGGCTTCCTTCCCCTGCTGCAGGGAAGACATCCAGTTCTAGTGCCTGGGGCTTTCCTCCCACACCCAGCAACTGCAGGGGATGTGCGTGAGTGGCAGGGTGCTCTGGCGATACAGGCAGCCCAGTAGAGGCTGCACCCCTCGCTGCGATGTGCTGCGCAGGCTGGAGCCGTGCTCCTCCAGGCCCCTGTGCCCTGGGCGCCCTGCCTGCTGCTGCTGCTGCTGCCACTGCTTGCCAGGGCTGTGCACCATGGGGGCAGTGTGGGGGGATCCCTGGGGGTTCACCACCCTGCCACCCTCCCGTACACCCACACACTGCCCAGCCGAGCTCTGCACTGCCAAGACCCCCTTGAGCGTAGGCTCCATGCTACCGCCAGCCCCAGCCCCACACTCCGCGCTCCCCCGCAGCTGCAACTCAGCCCCTGCCCCCACCACTTCCCTATCAGCTGCTCGAAGCAGGTCCCTGGAGACTGCTGCTGGCTAGGCTGGGCCCTTCTGCCCATGAAGGTGCAAGAGGGTATGTTTGGGTGTGTGTGTACACGTGGGTGCCTCATCCCCACCGTTGTGGGCAGAAGGGCTGTGTGGGGCATAATTTGTTAATGGGCACCGTGGGCCAGATGAAAGTGCTTGGCAGGCTGGATCTGGCCCGCAAGCCGTATTTTGCCCTATCTGGAAGGAAATCAGCTCTGGGGAAGTGGTTGTGAGAATCACTTGGGCTCTTACAAAGAGGTTGAATATACCCCAGCTAATGTGGGAGTAAAGGATTAAGATGGTGCATTTAACTTGGGTGGCAGGTCAACAACCATTTCTTCCCTTTGCATTTCTTAGTCCTACCTACAGATACAGTAGGACTTCCTTTGGGCTAGAAATGGCTTACACTGTTTTGGTACATCACAACCCTCCACAGGGCGCTGTGCACTCAGTGTCTGGTTCTTCAAGCTGCTTTCCCACTACTACAGCCTGTATGTGGCAGGCTTTTCTGGACCATGATGCAGTCCCTTGCCATGCATGCTGAGGCTGACCTAGGGGCTTTTTCTGACCATGGGACTCTAGCTCGGTGTTATCAGTGCCTCCATTTCATTTGCAGGCCCTGATCCAGTTGCCACCCTACATCTCCCAGTGTGAGGAGGTTCTTCAATTCTTCGAGACAAGACCTGAAGACCTGAATCCCCCTAAAGAGTAAGTTGGTTGTAAGGAGCCAGTGAGGCTGCTTCTGAGAACTGTTAATAGTGTTGGAGGCATAGGTTGTCACTGGATAAAACATACACCTCCGTGAACATTGTGGTCTTCAGAAGAGGCCCTGAAATTCATTTACGAGTCCCTCAGCTGCATTGTCAGGTAGAGCTGTTGAAAATGGCTGTTTTGACATCCCTGGAAAGGGGAAGAGGGCTGTAAAAGCTTCCTTTGCACTGACCAGTGTGCCTTGCCTCCTGGAGTGTCTGCCAGTAGCAGTGAGATGGGAGTGTTTTCTGCTGCACCTGCTGAATCCTGGGCCTCCCCACTGAACTTGTCAGACATGGTGCTACTTCATGCTGCTGAGTTCTGACGCGCAGTCATGTGGGGAAACCCAAAGTCATTTCGTGTAGGAGCAACCAAGAAGGGAATAACCTCCAGTTTACTAACAAACTTCTGATTAGAGTGGAGGACTCTTTTCCTTTGCCAGTTCCCTGAGGCATCCAAACAGTCCTGACTCTTGCTTTCCATTCAAAACAGGGAACTTTTGCAAGTTCTTTTGTGTGCCTTACGCAACCCCGTGTGGTTAGTCTTGTGACTATGAGCTGCTTTGGCCATGAACCATCTGTCCCCTGTTAATCTCTGAGAGTATAAATACAACCACCAGTCAGCCTCTGCTTCTCTGCTGCTGTCTCTTGTCTTCCCAAGTGTGTGTCCATGTGTGCGCCTCTACCTCAGGTTGAGCAATGGAAGAGGATTGATTGATTGCACAAGAGAAGGCAGTAAATTGATTTTGACATTGTTTTTTATGGAGGGGAAGAGGAAGATAAAAGGATTTTGTTTTTCTCTGAGAAGGAACACTGAGTCTCTTATGTCTCTGGCTAAGCATTATCCTTGTTCCATTTGTATCCTCTCCCCAGGCTTTAGATTTTACTCACTTAAAATTTTTTTCTCCTTGACCTCTGTATTTATTTTCTTGGCCTGTCATCCTTCCACCCCTAGCCAGCAGTCACTCGATTAGATTGGTCCGAGGGCCCCCGAGTCCATTAACTAATAGCATGCTGTCACCTGGCATTCCCATTCATCCTGCCCAAGCTATTGTTCTCCAGTTAACCTGTGACCCCTTAGGTCATCCATCAGCTAATGCAGTGGCACAGGAGGGAGGGAGAGGCTTAAGGAGAGTTTTGTGATTTGCACAGGCAGTATCTTGTATGGAAAAAGCCCCTGGAGTCTGCTAGTGCTTTGTGACATCCCAGTTCCAAGTAGTACAGAAGGTTGGGGAAGGGAGTAGCTTGTAAGTGAAGTCTAGGTTATGTGCTGTATTTTTTTTGGATATTGTATGGGTCAGGTCCATGCAATGATTCTGTTGCTGAGATCTGCTCACAGATGCTGACTTCAGGGGTTAGGGTTCATTCTCTATGTTCAGTTACACACCACAATCTGCTTCCTTACTGCATCCTGCACACTGTATCCTTACCCTGTACTGTGTCCATATGTTTATGGAGTCAGGCAGGATGGAGACTGTCACAGGAACAAGGAGCAAATTCAACCCCAGGACAAAGTAAAGCATCTGAGAGTGATGCTTCCTCAAAATGGGATTTGCTTCCCATGGTAGCACCCCCAGGTGATGCTGATTTGCACGTATTGCTTCTGGCAGGCCTGATGTGTAAGGAGTTCTCTGTTGCCCCAAGTTTTGTTACCTGCCTTGTGCTCAGGTGAGAGCTAAACAGAACTGAAAACACACAGACACCAGCCTAAAGGCACACACAGTATAAACAAAGCTGTGTGCTTCCATCCTGGGGGGCTCTGCTAAGATGGTCCCTTTGGAGGGCCTCTCCCGCACACTTGATGTGCACATCTCTCTGCACTAGTCTGTGTCCCTGATCACATGAGGAGAACCCTGCAATTGTTTTTCTTGCATTTGTAAATGTTTGGCCATTGTGGCTCTTGCCAGATTAGCTGCTGCCAGCTACCCATGGTTCAGTCTGATAGTGGAATGAGTGGAAGGAGCTTGCTTTCATTTTCCCCATGTGCTGTCCTCTTGGTAGCAGGAGGGGCGGTTTACGGTAGTAGAAACCACTTAACAGAGGACTTGTGTCCATTTGCCTCCAGCAGTGAGCTGCTGTGGTGTCTCAAGGACATCTCTGTTGTATTTCACATCCCAGCCTGAATGCTCCCGAGGTATTTATTAGCTACAATTCAAAATGTTAATTAATAAAAGTCCTTGACTGTCTCCTCTGGCAAGATTGGTGGGAGCCATTTCCCCAGCCCTATGCTGATATACTGCCAAATCACCAATAGGGATGTGAAAATGATGATAGACGGCTGGGGTTGATCAGATGCAGTGGTGTGTCTGGGGACTGGCAGGATGTCATCATTCATAAAGGAGATAAATACTTTCTATGGGAAGTTGAAAGGGAGCCAGGCCATGAAAGAAATAAGACAGTGACTTTTTATGCTGTGGCGACTGAGGGAAAGGAAAAAGGATTGGTCAGCATGCTCTATGCCAAGCAAAGCGGCTGTTCTGGTGGCATCAATGACCCACTGATTTCTTGCCCCTCTCCATTTTTTCTCTGCTCAGCAGAGACGCTCCCACCCCTTCTACTCTCACTGAAGGCTCAGTACCAGCCTCTGCTCCCTTTTAAAACACTGTGCAAAGTTCATGTTAACTGCAGTGGAAGCAGGGTCTTGTCCTTGGTAAGGGGAGATGCAGTGGGGTCCTTAGGGCTGTATGTGCATCCTACCTTCCTGGATGTGGATTAGAGATAGAGATGGTCCTGCTTGATATCACCCAGAGGCCTGAAGTCAAGTTGGTCAAGATGGTGTCAGAAGGAATAATTCCACTGAAGGCCATGGCTAGGTCTTCTAGCACAGTTTATGAAGAAAATCCCTGGAGAGAGCAGCATTAGGGGATGGAAAGAGGTGGTGTGGTCACTTGGGGCCAGCTCTCCATTTGTTGGTACCTCCTGGAGTTTGAGCTATTCTTTATACGGCCTTGGGTGAGTTGGTTCTCTTTGTTCAGGAGTTCCTCCTGGATTCTTTGGAGAACTTTTCCTACACTTGGCCTTCCTCTGCTAATACTGCTGATCTCCCCCTCCAGCAACAGGATCAGTGATGAGAGCACTGTTGTTGATGGACTTCTGGTGCTTGCCAGCTTTAACCATGGTGTATTCTGGATCTTTCTTAATCCATGGGAAGGACGGTTTGCTTACACCATCCCATTGCTGACAGGAAAAAAAGTAAAAAACTAAATGCAGAGGCAAGGAGCTCAATGTAGAGACTATCTCTGATAAGCACTCCCCTCTCATCAGTCCCAACTGAATGAGGCAAGAACCTGGTGCAGCTCTTACTTTTACTTTGGGTGGGAGGGAAGGGAAGCAAGGAGGAGTTAAAGAGTTTGAGTAATTTGCACATGCCTGTACACTTAGTGTGTGATCTCCATACCCTGCTGGGACCACTTCAGAAGGTCAGAGGGCATGTCAGTCCCTACCACCCACTGAGCTCTTTGCTTCCCCACAGACCATTGTGGCTGATGGCTTTTATGGTGTAGGCACCTGTCCTCTAGGGATTGGGCTGAGACCAGCCAAAGTCATTTCATATAGGATTCTACCCAACTGAGTGATTTGAAGGCACCGTGGCTGTAACTGTAGGTCTTGAGGCACTGGTTAGGTCTGGTGGGAAGAAGGCAAAGCTTCTGCAGGGACAGAAGAATGCACACGGCAGGAAAGAAGAAACCCACTACACGGGATGTGGAAGCTTTTTTCTCTCAGGCCTTTGGATAAAAATTCAATTGCAACTAGCTTTAGAGGAGGCAAGCCGCCATATTGTTGCTACCAGCATGCACTGGGATGTCAGATCTGTGGCAGGGCTCTGGGGTGGGGAATAAGGGAACTGCAGGAATGGCAGCTGCTTTGTGTGGATTAGTCTTTCTTTTCATTGTGAAAGAGGTTTCCAGTGGCAGAAGGGAGCTCCTGCAGGGAGGCTGGGGAAGTCTGAAGTTCTGGGTAGGAGGCTTTCCCTGAGTCAAAGCATTCAGCTGCTAACTGCCCTTGCCAGTTGCTCCAACAGGCAGGAGCCCAGGTTAACTATAACGAAGACTTCCTCTGCATGATGGTTAAAATAACCCTTGGTGCTACACCAGGGGAAGCAGCAGGGGAACAGATTTGTCCTGTTGATTTCCTTTTTACTCCTAGAAACAACTAACATGCAAGTGAGGCGCCATCCATATTTGCTGTCCATTCTCATTTTGGTCCTCACACAACCCAGTAAGATCGAAGAAATGCTTAAGGGATTGTGATCCATTTTAGTAGCTGTGACTGATTCGTTCCCAGCACCTCCTTCTCTACAGCGTTGCTGTGCTTGAGAAAATTTTCTTCCTACACCATGTCTGTCTGTTTTCAATGTGACTTCTGAGTGGGGGGATGAAAAGACACGGTTATGCTCCTGATACAGAAATGACGTGCAAATTAAAAGCCTGCAGCTCACCCTGAGGGAGATGTTAAAACAGAACCTGCAGTTCAGGGGCGCTGGTCAAGACAGGTTCATTCTTAAAAGACCCTGTGATGACTTGGTCCCTTTAGTAGGTGAGATAACAGCTGCAGTGGAGTGTGCCTTGTAGATAACATTACAGAATTGTTAGTTTCTAATCTGAAGCCATAGTGCCTGCCTCTTCTGTGAATGGGCTCTGAGGAGGCGAGAAGCTCTGGATCTGCATGCCTGGACCTTTTGATCAGATGGTGCACTTTAGACCTGTCCTGTCTCTGGGATGAATGCCCAGAATTCCAGCCCCCAGTGATCAAAGCCCTGGATCAGGGGTCTGGCAGTCAGGTGAAGGTCTGCTTTTCATTGTTTGCCTCAATTACTTGCCTATATCCTAAAGTGCCAGAGAACACAGGTCCCTGTAGCCTGCTCAGTGGCTAAGTGGGTGGGCAAGGAGTGGGAAGAGAAATTGCAAGTATAATGAACATACTGTGCATGTAGATGATAAGCCTCCCTCCCCCATGGCT